CACACACACACACACACACACACACACACACACACACACACAAAGCAGCCAAAGAAAACAAGCAGATGGTAAGTTTCTGGAGAGCCGCTGCCATGTGAGAGAGTGCAGAAAAACCCTGAATTCAACCTTGATAGAGCAGCAGGCAGCATGCGTAAAGAAAAAAAAAACAGAGGTAATTGAAGGGACAGAAGTTGTGTCACTGCTTTGATTCTCCTCGCCCACACACTGCCTGTTTTGTTGAAAGACAGTATAAGTAGTATATCACCTAAGCATTCAACTTGCCTTTCTTAAGCCCTTTTGTTTGAATCCACTTTGAAGTGAAGGGCTAGAAGCTTTCAGTTTTTTGTTTTCGTGTAAAAACAGCTGAACTAGCACACGAGCAATCAGTATCAGCGCACACCACGGACGGGGGAACGATTAGGGCCTGTGTGTGGTAGAGTGAAGTTGGCCTTGTRTGTTTGATGGTTTCTGTGACAACGGTTAACGGCAGCGTGGGTGGGGTGGGGAGGAATCGATCGAGCTGGAGTTATAAATGCAAGCTGGAAACGGCCGAGCTCCATGTCTGTCAGAAGAAGGAGCAGAGGAGAATTTACAATTTGCAGCTGCAGCCAATCTCCTCCGCTCGTTTAGAAGGTTTTACCCAAATGAAGGGCCAGAGGTTGGGAGATAATTCAACATTCAGGACTCGATGAAAAGTCAACGGTTCTGATGATGTTGTTATTTGATGCTGAAGGATACTGCATGGATTCAGGATTGTGATTAGATATTTACTGCCCAYCACTATGAAAAGCTGGTGACAGTGTAATTACACGTGCTTGTCTTTCTGTTAGCAAAATATCTCATGAACAGATTCTCAGATTATATCTCATGGGCAGATTTTAGTTGAGCTCTCRGACASTAATCRCTGGATGAACCTGGACAACTGCTTGACTTTTGAAATCAGCACAGTTCAAGATGGCCGCCACAKCTATTTGACTTTAGCAAACATATAAAAGGTTACAACTCAAATACTTTTACAGATATTTGCTGCATTCCAGTAGTCCTGGGAAGTGGTAATTGCCGTGTTCCCRTTGGTAGATTTAAACTGGAACGTCCCCTCCAGTGGCAATATTCCACTGGTATAGTGGAAGAAAGAAACTGCYCCCAGTCTCGATTACAAGATGGCAGCTACTCGCAGCTTTAGAAAGTTAACTCAGTATCTTTTACTGTTAATTATCTTCATTAATTTTTTGTGCATGTTTAATTACTTGCACAAGTAGTGTGTTTTCTGTGCAATACTGTACRTATCAAAATCAAAGTTTATTTGTATGACGTAGTGTAGAGCTCTCTTTTTGTCATTGTTTATATTGTAGCAGTGTTGTAGCTAGATTAGCGGCAACAATATGATCGCCTGTTGGATAACTGGAATGCAGTTTCATATGGTTTGTTGGGAAATGACGTCACTACCACTTACCAATTTTGGGAATAGGATGTAAATGGAACACAGCAATTGAGCTCAAATTTGGCGTGGTAGTTTTAGGAAAGTATCTCATGAACCACCAGATGAAATTTTTATAAAATTCACAGAACGCAGGGATTGCAGTATATTAATTTCTGGGGTCGACCCAATTCAAGATGGCCGCCGCAACTGATTAACCTTAACATAAATGACTATAATTTAGTCAATTTGAGATTCTGAGCTCAAATTTGGTGATGTCAAGAATCATACAGGTTTGATTTGTATATTGTGTTAGTGTAGTGTCCAGCTCTGGTTCTACACAGCTGAATCTAATGAGTGCCTAATTAGTAGGCCTATGCAGCAAGTAGGGGTCTCTGTGGACGAGTGGGCATGTCACAAGGAAAGGCGATTCTAAAGCGACACACCTGATTTGACGGACTTTGTTAAAGGGACACACTTGACTGGACAAACAAAAAAGGGGCGATACTGCACGGCACCACCTGATTGGACAAGAACAACAGGGGCGTTACTGTACGGAACAACTTTTTCTGGAGAACCCTACTTGGGTCACATTTCTCCTGGTTAACCTCAGTGTTGGGGTCAGGATCAGGCTGTAAAGACATCAAGCAGGATCTGAGGATACCGTCATGTAGACCTCGTAGCCCACAGTGTTTCTGCTTTTGACACGCCCACTCTTGTGACACGCCCACTTTGATTCCGCAGATAACCCCTTCGCCTATGCAGACCATGATGGCAAACTAAGGAGGCCTACTGATTAAGCACTCATTAGGTTCAGCTGTGTTGTACCAGGGCAGCACCTAAATCATGCAGGACACTGGCCCTTGAGGACTGACTTTGGACACCACTGTAGTGGATGATCCAGTGTGTATTTCAACACCCTGCCAGTGATTTGAAACATTAAAAGATGCACAACAGCAAAAATCAACATTATAAGATTCACATTTTTACATTAAAGCAGCTGTGACTCAATGTGAGTTTTGAACAAACACCATAATGTTCAATGCAAAACWCGTAGGCACAGTTCAACATAGTTGCCCTCTTAAAAAGTATTCAGTTGCAATACTGTTGAATATGGTGATGATGCTGACAGCAATAAACACACATTTCCCTCCTTTCTCACCATGAGTCAAAGCTTTTCAGCCACTATCATCTAAATCGGCTCTTGGCATTCACAGCAGTGGGAGTTGAGTTGGAAAATTTATTATTGGCATCCAGTTTGTGTCTGTGATTTATTGCAGTTCTTTGAAATATAGATTTTTTTTTCACACAATAATATCGCAATGATTATCTGTTCCTGACACAATCAGCTGCTCTAATACAATATTAACAAGTGTATGGTCCCAGGATACAGCTGGCTTTTAGAGCCCTGCCTCGCCTGCCATCCAGCTGGTGCAGCATGCTGCCTTGATTGCTCAGGGGTCTCCTTCCAATGGACCCGTCCCACTGGGATTAGGTAGTGTCCAAGTATCTGGTAGTCTTTAGGATAGATYGACAGATCTGGATTTAATCTGCAGTAATGAGGGCGTGGCTCTGATCTGTTGTGATGAAGGAGCTGAGCTGAAACAGAAAGCTTAAAGCGATGCCCAGAGCCGGCTCTTGGCATAGGCGAACTAGGCGGTCGCCTAGAGTGCCATCTGCTGGAGGGGGCGCCGAACTGCAGAAGAAAAAAGTAATCATTTGTAATCCCCTTTCAATTAGCTTTGTCTTAAAAAACAATAATGAAGTATTACAGGAAAAATAAACTACTCTACCTATAAAACATTTTCTCCCCCCAATGCAGCAATTGCCCCCACCCTCTCTGTCATTTGACTGACGTTGCACTGACTCGTCCTGCTCCGACACTCTGATGGGGGAGGGGCCAGTAGTGCCTTTCAGGTAGCGGTTCGTGTTGACAAACTCAATAACAACAAGTCTGTATTTTGTTGTCCCATTCATGTCAACCTCTTTGGACATTTACCTGGATAAAAAAACTCAAAAATCCATAAATTTTGCAAAAAATCCATACAACGACATGAAAGCGCTCGCTGCGAAGCAGGAGGAAAGGAGAGCGGAAAAAGTTCTAAACTTATTTCTACTGGCAGAACATGTTGGAAGATGGCTGTTTAATGTTATTCATTGTTTTTTAAATCATCCTATAGGCTCTGACATGTTAGGTAAATTTGAAAGTGAGGTTTTGAAAAAAACCTGTAAGACTTAAAAAAATCCATTTGATTGCTCTATACGTCCGTATACCTGCAAAATTATGTAAAATCTTTATAACTTATGGAAAATCCGTACAAGTTGACATGTATGTTGTTATTTATTTGCGGGGGGGGGGGGGTGCGCTTCAACTCGCCTAGGGCACCAAAATGGCTAGAGCCAGCACTGGCGATGTCTCAACCTCCACCTGTGGTCATGCGATGTGGATCATGTCTCAAAGGACAGGGTCCCAAACACAAGCAGCTGAAATAAGCTTCTGTTGCTCCAGGTTGAGCTTAGAAAGGTGCTG